ATTTGGCGATTTCTTTGTCCATTTACGATCCATCTTCCTCTTTGTTCGACTCCTTGTCGTCCTCAATTGTTGATAAATTCTCTCGCTCAATGGCACCCTCAGCCGTCAAGGGCCCAGCTTTCCCAATAGTCCCCTCGACCATTGGCAACCCATGTTCATTCTAATGAAAGCATAAGAAATGTGGTCTCGTAAGTTTTCGTAATTATCATAAGTTCGTCACTCCACTCGTTGTGAATAATTACTTCAGAATGATATATGAAAATCAAATATTTTTGTATACTTGAGAGATTAAACTCACCACCTCCTAGTCCAATTCTTACCTAGAAGAATTACTTATTTTAATAAGGCATCGCCTAAACAAAGAGTTTGATGAAATAGGTCATGACTTATTCCTAACACCCGTAGCGACTTGCTCACCCTCTTTTGCAAGCAACACAACGTCATTGTTTTTGGGTTTGCCATACATATGAGCTTTCAAGGAGAATTCAAGTCAAAAAAATGCCACCTGCATGGAGAACTCGCATTTTATAATAAAATGAATTTTCAAACTTGAAAATTGATGAGAAAAGTGACTTATGAGTCAGGATTTTACCCACAAAGAGGTAATCTAGGAAGCTTTTTATGTGAAGGGTACTATTCTTCAAAATATGGTACCTCGCCTTGACGCGGGAGTTGCGACATTCCTCGCTATCAGAATGTGATACCCATGATTGCTGGATTTCATAATCTTTTAGAATCACGAAGGCCCGAGATCGCAGGATTTTTTGTTGCACAGAACATCTTTCATTCCCAATTCTCGCTTCATTGTTTATTTATTTCTTGTTTTCTTCCTAATTTTCTTATTTCTAATTATGGTTATTTCTGTGAGAAGACTATATATGTGGATATTTTGTTGTTTTGAGTAAAGAGCTTTATTTTTAGTAATTTGAGAGATTTTATTATCTGATTTATGACTTAAGGAGTGTTGTATTATTTTCTTTTGAAAGTGGCGTGTCTGTATTTTCCTCAGGAATATGTGGTGGAATCTCTTCGCCGCCCGTGTCTCGCGGATTTGTCATCCAACTTGTATTTTTCAACCTGGACACCCATTGAACGACGCTTATCCCCCTCCAAATACCGTTGAACACTCATATAATCCTTCTCTTACAATTTCACAATACCTCTATGCAAAACTCGCTTCCTAACTACCTTCTAGGAGCTCTAGAATAGTATCATCTAGTACTAATGATTGGCAAACCCTAAATTTTTTGGGATTTGTCCTTCCTACACCTAAACTAAGATTCCATACAACTTAACCTAACACTCATTAGCAAAATTATTTTCTAAATCTTTCTTATTGCAATTCCTAACACAAATCTTAAATTTTCAAAATTGAACATTTCTACTTTTACCAAAATTCACTCTGATATCTACTATGAAAAGTTAAGCCACTGACTAACTTTGATTTGCAATTCTATATTGTTGAAAACGTTTTCGGGCAAAAAAGTCACCATGCTGCCAAAGAGAAACCCTTAGTGAGAGGTTCAAGAACTAACCATGGAGGATATGCATCGAAAGATCCTCTAACAACAACAGAGGCTTGCCACATTTGAGAGGAGACAATCTATTGAGGTCACTCATAGCCACAATGATGGCTCGCTAGATCAAGAAGAAGTGAATCCCTTCTACCAAGAAGCATTAAATGACGAACAATCCATACACATCAATCTGACATTGAATATTAGAGTAGTCACAATCTTGGAGTGAAAATTAATTTATCGAACTATGACGGTTGTATGGATTCAGATGAGTTCATCGAAGGACTCTGTAGTGAAAGATTTTTTCAAGGGCGTTCCACTTAACGAAATGGTGAAAGTAGCCATTATTAAACAATGAAGAATGCTTCTTTGTGGTGGGAGAATCTGAAGCATCTTTGACAGCAGAGAGGAAAAAATAAAATCATTACTAGGCCCAAGTTGAAACCGGAAATGCAACACAAATACTTACCAACACATTACAGACAAGACATTTTTTAGACTTCACCACTTACAACATAAAGACCTCTCAATAAAGAAGCACACAACTTATTTCGAGCAACTTTTGTTGAAGTGTCGGTTAATGGAGCTCAAAGAGAACAACAACATAACTCCATATTGAAAGGGATCGAAAGTTTCTATTGGCAGTGTGATATAGTTGCAGTCTTATTGCAGATTACAAGATGTCCAAATCGCAACCTTGAAGGTGGAAGACAACACAATATGAGGTTCACACCATTTTTCAAACATGGTTCAACCATCAGATTAGACAACTAAAGTACACCAGTGGAGCGTTAAAGTTATCCCCACTAGTGTGGACAAAAGGTGGAGCCTGCCAACACTCCCAAGTTCAACTCTGTTAGTAACTGCTTTAAATGTCATGGTTTTGGCCACGTGGCATCTATTTGCTTAAACAAGAGGATGATCTCTTTTACTGAGCAAAGAGTAGTTGATGATATGGACAATGACACAGGAGAGAATGAAGATGTCAGAGAGGAGTTTTAAACTCTAGCCAATGTGGAAGAGACGATAATAATTCAAGAAGAGTTCATGAGAGAGATTCCAACTAAATTAATATTGGTTGTTCTAGAAGACAGTGAATCTGAGTATTAGATATCAGAAATGAGGTAGCCCTTACTGAGAGAGTCGCCATATTTCCTGACCGATAGTTTATCTTTTCGGTAATTGCCACTGAGAGTGGTCTAGCATACCATAGATTTTATTCCAGAGTTAATTTCTCCATACATATTTGTTGGATGTGCCTCGCCAAGTAAGGAAGTGGGAGAAACAGGTTATATTTTTAATTGCTTGAAACTTGGTTCGTGAGATTATCTGTCTATGTGCAGTTTTAGCTGTGGTTATGCAAAAACAATATAGATATTTATTCTATCAAGATATACTTTAGAAGGACGTATGTTTTTTGGGGTTACTTGAAATGGACATGAGCTTAGATTTTGTAGTAAGACCATCAAGCATAACAAGTTAATGATTTTGTTATGGTGGTGG